GTACCTAAATTGGATCCCAGGTCAGGCTTCTGACTCCAGGTTCCTGTAATGCAGACCCTGGAGGGGCCGCAGTGATGGCTCAAGTATTTGGATTCCTGGCACCCATATGAGAAACTTGAATTGAGTTCATGTGTCCTGTGGCCTTGGCCATAACCCAGGCCCAACCTTGTGAACTTTTGGGGAGTGAAACAGTAGATAGGCGCTTTCTCTCTCTCTCTCTGTCCTTTCTCAAATCAAAACAAAATAGCTAAAAACAAAACAAAACAAAAAACAGATGGTATCAGTCCAAGACTCTCCATCCATATTTAGTATACATGTATGTTGTCAGATGGGTGTAAATCATTTTTATTATCATCGTGTCAATAAGAACATACTTTTCTTGGTAATTGAGGTGGTTTATTCTAAAAATTCTCTTTAAAAATCACTGTCTGTAAAATGATAACCTGAAGGATCCCAATTTTCAGTGGATGAATTTGTTCCAAGTAAATGGAATTGTAATAGGATTTTTATCTGACTAGCAATCCCTGTAACTAATATGGGACCTTAAAAATAGAGGTATACTCATAAAGATTAAATTTTGGAAAAAATGTTACATCTTAACATTTTGTACCTCTGGTTTTTCTGATACATACTTATTTCTATAAAAGAAGCATTATATTCTTTTGAGTTCTCAGTGGAGAACTTTTCAGTGAGAACACTTATATACTATAGCAATAATCAAGTGGATAAACCCAGGAAGAAAATTTTTATTATTGAAGAATTTATATTCAAATAATGAATTATGCCAATAATAATGGCATTTAAATTGTTAGTTACTAAAAAGATAACCATTCCAAACAATTTTACAAATGTGGCTAACTCTGTCAGGCAACTCACAGGAGGAAAAAAAGAGCATCTTGTTTTCATTGTTGAAGCTGTTTAGCAATTATTCAGATAAATATAGTTTATTGACAGTTCTCCAGAAATAGTGGGGAACAACATTTTCAAGAAGGAAATAGCTTCAAAAAATGAGTCAGTTTTCAACATTTCTAACACCACTCATAAGAAGACATAATTTAGGTTCAAAGCCTGAAAAGAAGCTAAAATTTTAAGGAAGATTTTTGCGGGATGTTGTTCCTCATTTCGCATACTCAGGATCTGTTCTGTTTAGGAAATTATTATAAGAAGACATGTAATTTAATTGGAACATAATGTCTGAATCTCCTTCCCTTAGTCTTAGTGATTATTTTTTTCCTCTTTGCGGTTACTTTTTGCCTATCTATCTTATATCTGTTACCAGGCTCAGGGATTGTTCTGGAAAAATGTTGCTGAGGCTCTTTTTCTATTATTGTTCTTGTCTCCTCACTGAGGCTTTCTAGCAGAAGACCCTTCTATTAACAGAGTATTTCATATATTCTTCAAATAGTTCATTTAATTCTGTAGTATATAGAACTATAGTATATAGTGTTTTGTATCTTCAAAGTATATGGTATTTATAGTATTTAGTGTTTTGTGTCCTCAAAAAATTGACAACAAAACTCAGGTAGGGTAGTAGGTAAAGCCTCAGCCTGCGATTGCCACCAGCATCCTATATGGGTGCCAATTCGTGTCTCAGCTGCTCTGCTTCTGATCCAGCTCCCTGTTAATGGCATGGGAAAGTAGTGGAAGATGGCCCAAGTGTCTCAGGGAGACTTGGATGAAGCTCCTGGTTGTGGCCATCCGGGAAGTGAACCAGTGGATGGAAGATACCTTTCTTCATCTCTCTTTCTCTCTTTCTCTCTTTCTCTCTGTCTCTCTCTCAGTCTGTGTGTGTGTGTGTGTGTGTGTGTGTGTTTCTTCTTTTTCTGTAACTCTTGACTTTCAAATAAATAAATAAATCTTAAAAAAACCCAAAACACTCAGATAGGAGTAGGTAGGACTTTCCTAGGATAGGCTATAAAAGATTTTGTATTCCAACTGACATCTTCTCTCTTTTTAAACGTTTTCATAAATTTTATTTTTTATTTTTATTTATGAGAGAAAGTCAGAGAAAGATTTTCTATCCGCAAGTTCACTTCCTAAACGCTCTTAACAGCTTAGACTGGGCCAGGCTGAAGCCAGCACTGGGAACTCTGTCCAGGTCTCCCATGTGGTGATAGGACCCAAGAATTTGAGCTATCACCTGCTGCCTACCAGAGTGCACATTAGCAGGAAGCTGAAATTGTAAACAAAGCCAGGACTTCAGAAAACAGGCACTCCAAAATGGGATGCAGGTGTCCGAAGTGGCACCTTAATTGCTGTACCAAATGCCAGTTCCCAAGTTTTCATTTGCAAATTGATAATTTATAGTTGTATGTATTTTAAGAGTACGAAGTGATCTTGTGCCTTATGAATAAATCCTGGATTGATTAAATCAAGCTAATTAATATGCACATTACATATATTGCTTAATCATTTTTATATTATGAATATTAGTTCATTTAATACCTTAGAATAAAATGAGGGTTTAGACTTGATATTTGTGAATGTATTTTATATGTAATTATAGATATATTTTATAATATTTAAAATAATATATTTTATTATATATACCTTATATATTTAACGTATTTGAGAAGTAGAGAGCTAGAGCTCCTATCTTATGACTTACTTTCCAAATGATTGCAAAGGCCAGGGAACTGAAGCTGGGAGACAGGACTGTAATCCAGGTCTCCGCTGTGAGTGGCAAGAACCCAACTACTTCAGCAGTCAATCACTGTTGGTTGCTAGGATCACAACCACTAGGAAGTTGGAATTGGGAGCCAGGCTGGAATCAAACTTACATACTCCCTTATGGGATGCTGGCATCTCAACCAGTGTCCAAACCACTAGACCAAATTCTTGCCCCAGACTTGATTTAAATTTAATATTTAGTTTTGCAATTTTTGGCAAGTATTTTGTAAAGATATGTACTTATGGAATACTGCACAGTGGTAAAAAAAAAATGAAATCCAGTCATTTGCAGCAAAATGGAGGAATCTGGAAAACATCCTTTCAGCAGGGAGGTGGAAGTAGAACGGCTAGGCTCAAACTAGAACTCTGGTATGAGATGCTGACATTGTAAGCAGTGTCTTAACCAACCACAGTGACAACTCCACATGTATATGATGTAGTTACGCAAGAATATAAAGTTGTTTGGGTACCTTTATAGGTAGTGGGTATGTAGCCAGTATATTTCTGTACAACATGAACAGCTGGAATGTTAGTGTGTAATGTAGTGTGTGTTCATAATAATTGTATGGTCAAGGGACTGTTAATTTGTTTTATTCTGTTTTAAGATGTACTGATTAAAGAGGCAGGGAATCATATTTTAGAAGCAGTTTGATTTAGATTTTTCTATTAAGTTATCTTTCAGCTACCTGGAAATTCTGACTGAACAATTCAGGGTTTATGATGGCTAGGATTTTATTATTCTACTGAAAAGTAATTTAGGCCATGAGCCATCTACATTTAAATTACTTAATTAGTATTAAGACTATTATGGAAAGGACCTGATTTTCACAACTTGATATCTAATAAAACTAGATCACTAGAATAAATGTGGAAAATAATATCAGAGTGAGTTGAAGAAAAAGTCAGAGGAAAGATTGGTATGCTTGTAAAATGATTTTAAATATAGAATGTATGAAGAAATAGAAAATAACTGGTAAAAAAAAAAGAAGGAGTACTATTCTGATAAAATGGAGTTAAAATAAGTAAAATTCACTCGAGCAATTCACACATTTTATTTTCATACACATGTTTGATTAAAGTCTTGAAAAATGATTATCAAATATCACTTTAGAGAGGCTGGCATTGTGGCACAGCAGGTTGGGCCTGCCTGTGACTCCAGCATCTCATGTGGGTGCTCGTTTGAGTCCTGGCTGCTCCACATCAGATCCAACCCCCTGCTAATATGCCTGGGAAAGCAGTGGAGGAAGGTCCTCTGCCTGCCCTTGTGGGAGATGCAGATGAAGCTCCTGGCTCCTGGCTTTGGCCTTGGGTTCCTTGGGCTCCTTGGGCTACTGTGGCCATTTGGAGAATAAACCAGCATATGGAAAATTCTGTGTAACACTGCCTTTCAAATAAATAAATTAAATCTTTAAAAAAGTAATACTTTAGAATTATAAAATCAAAACCTCTTGGGAAATCTTTTATAGGGAAAATAGGATCTTATATAATACCTTAAACATACAGGTATATAATTAATGAATGAATGGCACAGAAAAGTTTTGATACATCCAGTAAAGTTTTAATGAGGGCAGACATAAACAGGTAATCATGCTGATGTCACTGCTGTTGTTACTTGTAAGGATGTTATATATGTTATTTTGCAGGTTGAACACTAGAAACTGGTGAATTTAGTACATGTTTCTATTTGTTTAGTATACATTTCTGTCTCCCTTTCTATATTAACTCCCTCTGTTACTTGTAGAAACTGGTTAATTCCTGTATAAGGAAGAAAAACCTTTGGGTAGCATCAAGTGGGATTAATAGCATAAAGTGGGTAGAAGTGCCCTGGATAGCAGAGATGGCAGCTTTTCATCGCAGTAAATTGCACAAGGGAGCCTTGTGAATGTCATGTACATGGTATAATTCAGCAAAGCAATATTTATAACTGTAGACTGGCTGGCACCACGGCTCAATAGGCTAATTCTCTGCCTGTGGTGCCAGCACCCTGGGTTCTAGTCCCAGTCAGGGCGCTGGATTCTGTCCCGGTTGCTCCTCTTCCAGGCCAGCTCTCTGCTGTGGCCCGGGAAGGCAGTGGAGGATGGCCCAAGTCCTTGGGCCCTGCACCCGCTTGGGAGACCAGGAGAAGCACCTGGCTCCTGACTTTGGATCAGCACAGTGCGCCGGCCACAGCTTGCCGGCCGCAGTGTGCTGGCCGCAGCGGCCATTGAGGGGTGAACCAACGGAAAAGGAAGACCTTTCTCTCTGTCTCTCTCACTGTCCACTCTGCCTGTCAAAACAAAACAAAACAAACAAACAAAAAATAACTGTAGACCAAAAATTCTTTTTTATAGGCTGAATACGTCCAGCTTGTTACTGAACTTCGAATGACAAGAGCCATTCAGCCTCAGATCAATGCTTTTCTACAGGGCTTTCATATGTTCATTCCACCCTCCCTCATACAGCTTTTTGATGAATATGAATTGGTAAGAAAAACATGGCTCTTTTGTTGTTACTGATTTCATAGTTGTTACTAATAAAACTGCAGTTGATGTAGTTCAGAAGTTGTTGGAGTATATAATGAAAGGAATAGTATATAATGAGACATTGCAGTTCAGTGTTCATATTTAGAGATTTGTTACAAGATTTTTGGTTGTACTTCTCTTACACTTAGAATCAGAGTAGGAATAATATGAAATATGGTGGGGCGTTTGATAAAAATGGAATATATTTCTGGTGTCTTCTGTGTAGAACATGTTGAAGGTCAGTCTCCCTATAAAACTATATTCCACTTTATTACTGAGTTTATTTGGCCACGTGAAGTAGAGGCTGCTGATACTAACTACTTTTTCTTCCAAAAACAATTAAAAGGAATTTTTCTTGTTGTATTAAATTCTCTACTGAAAACCTCTGTGGAGGTTCACTCTCTTTGCTGTAGTCTAATGTCTCATGAATATTTTGTTTTACTCCTTTAATTTGCCTTCCTTTTATGGTGATCTAATAGGATTTCTAACTTTTTATGATTTTGGAGGAAATATTTATTTATTTATATGAAAGGCAGAGTTATAGGGAGAGAAGGAGATACAGATCTTCTTCCATTTGCTGGTTCACTCTCCAAATGGCCACAGTGGCCAGGACTGGCCCAAGCTGAAGCCAGGAGCCAGGAGTTTCATCTAGGTCTCCCATATGAGTAGCAGGGCCTGAGTGCTTATACCATCTTCCACTGGTTTTCCCAAGTACATTAGCAGGGAGCTGGACTGGAAGTGGAACAGCTGGGATATGAACCAGTGCACGTGTGGGATGTTGGCATTGCAAGTGGCACCTTAACCTGCTGTGCTACAACGCCAGCCCCTAATTTTATATGATTTATATACAGATTTTGTTAATTTCCCTTTTTGTATTTTTTGGTAATATATTATTTTCAAACACTTTGAGTTGTCTGAATCCTTAATAAAACATAGTATTTTAAATGGAGTACAGCTACTTTTTTTTTTTTTTTTTTTTGACAGGCAGAGTGGACAGTGAGAGAGAGAGACAGAGAGAAAGGTCTTCCTTTTGCCATTGGTTCACCCTCCAATGGCCGCTGCAGCTGGCGTGCTGTGGCCGGCGCACCACGCTGATCCGATGGCAGAAGCCAGGTACTTCTCCTGGTCTCCCATGGGGTACAGGGCCCAAGGACTTGGGCCATCCTCCACTGCACTCCCTGGCCACAGCAGAGAGCTGGCCTGGAAGAGGGGCAACCGGGACAGAATCCGGCGCCCCGACTGGGACTAGAACCCGGTGTGCCGGCGCCGCAAGGTAGAGGATTAGCCTAGTGAGCCGTGGCGCCGGCCTACAGCTACTTTCTTATTTTATTTTATTTATTTTTGACAGGCACAGTTAGACAGTGAGAGAGAGAGAAAGGTCTTCCTTCCATTGATTCACCCCCAAAATGGCCACTACGGCTGGCGCGCTGTGCCAATCCGAAGCCAGGAGCCAGGTGCTTCCTCCTGATCTCCCATGCAGGTACACATCCTCCACTGCCTTGCCAGGCCACAGCAAAGAGCTGGACTGGAAGAGGAGCAACCAGGACAGAATCCAGTGCCCCAACGGGGACTAGAACCCGGAGTGCCGGTTCCGCAGGTGGAGGATTAGCCAAGTGAGCCATGGCGCTGGCCTTTTTTTCCTTTTTTTAAAGATTTATTTATTTGAAAGGCAGAGTTACAGAGAGAGAGAGGGAGAGACACAGTGAAAGAGAGAGATCTTTGATCTGCTGGTTCACTCCACAAATGGCTGCAGCAGCGCAGAGCTGGGCCAGTCTGAAGCCAGGAGCCAAGAGCTTCTTCCAGGTCTCCTGTGTGGGTGCAGAAGCCCACGTACTTGGGCCGTCCTCCTCTGCTTTCCCAGGCACATAAGCAGGGAGCTGTACTGGAAATGGAGCAGCCGGGATACTAACTGATGCCCATTATGGGATGCCCACATTGCAGATGGCAGCTTTATCCACAAACCACAATGCTGGCCTCTTCTTTTCTTCCTTTTTTTTTTTTTTTTTTTTGCAAGTTTAAGAGAATATACTCCCCAAATGCCTGCTATGAATTCAATCAAGATCTCAGATAGGTGGGAGGAATTCAATTAAACCATCACCACTACCTCCCAGGGGCAGCATTGGCAGGAAGCTGGAGTCAGGAGCTGGATCTTGATAGATCTGATATTATACTCAGGTACTCTGACATGGAATCAGGCATTTTTGCTGCAAGATTAAGCACCTCTTAAAGTTTGCCTAGTTTTGGACTGTGTGTAAATTATAGAAGAAGTACAGCTTTTATTTTGTGAGAATCATATATTTGTTGCATGCAATTACAGTTTTTTCATTTTCATTGCTGTGTAGTGTTTTATCATGTCAGTTTTGTCTTGTGTGTCTACTCTTGAACGTTCAGTGAGTTCTTTTCAGTTCTAGAGTATTTCATGTAGTGCTGCTGCAGACATTGTAGTGTGCCGTTAGGAGAACTTATGTGTACGTTCTGTGGTTACATATGCATACCCTGGAGTGGAATTGCCAGGATGCAGGGGGCTCATGTATTTCACTTTAGTAGTAACTAGCAAATAGTTTTCCAAAGTAGTGTTTCAGTTTACACTCCCACCAGTAAATCTGACAGTTCTGGGTGTTGTACATCCTCATTATTATTTTATGTTTTCTACCTTATTCATCATTTTCATCATTCTGATGGATCAGTAGTCTTTCTTTGTGATACTAATTTCTATTTTCCTGAGGAGCAACAAAATTGAGTACCTTTGTGTACTCTGTTTTTGAAGTCTGTGTAGGAAATTTGTCTCTATTGTGCTTTTTTTTTTAACTGATATATATGATTCTTTATGTATTCTTTATATGAGTCGGTTGTCAGCTGTATGTACTGTGAATATCTTCTATTTTGGTGTCTTTCAATGAATGAAAATTTTTATTTTAACACAGTTTAGTTTTTCAATTTTTTTGTGTGTGTTTGTTCATTTTAATGCATGGAGCTTTTTGTGTCCTGTTTAAGAAACTTTCTTTCTCCAAAGTCATGAAGATATTTTCCCATGTTTTCCTCTGAAAGCTTTATTCCTTTATCTTTCACATTTAGGTCTGCTACTGGTGAGTTTTTAATTGTGTTTCTTAAATTAGAAGTTAGGTCAGGTTTCCTAGTTTGTGTTGGACTCTGGCTTTAAAAGCTGAACTGATTCAGATTGTTGGTTTATTTTGGAAGAACAATATTGTAGGAATGCCCCTGAATTACACAGTGATAATTATTAAGCATTTAGTGTTTGCTAGGTGCTTAGTATCTATTAAAATCTTCACAGCTAACCTCCTAACTTCAGACTATCATTATAAGAGCGTATAAATCTTTTGCCTTTTACTATCATTATCCTCATTTGGTGGATAAGAAAACTACGCCAAAGAAGGTATGGTTTTAGAATCTTTGCGTCTTTTATAAGGACCCTGCTACACTGAAAGAAGAAACTTTTTAAATATTTATTGGGAATATTTTAGCTAGATATACCCCTGAGTTAAAGAATTCTAGGGTTTTAGTGAGGAGAAGGCATTGGATGGAAGTTAAACCAAGTCAAGCAATGATTATCAGGCTGAAAAATGGTGACAACAGTTTTTTCATTAATACATTTATATTTTAGTTGAGGGGTTCCTACCAATTGTCTGAGGGACTGTACTGCTCGTGAATTTATCCATGATGGTACCAGAATATAAAGACATTGAGTCATGTGAACACTGGGTAAGCTTACTACTGTGAACATTTCCATGACTCAGTTTCTGACCACTAATGTGGGTTATATATATGCCTGGTTGAAGTAGACAGATCAATTATTTTATTATATTTTTGAAAAATAAATTATTAGTTGAGATGTAAAATATTTTTATTATATAACTCTTTCCTATCTGCCAGTCCACTATCCAAATATCTACAGTGGTCCTAAAATGGGAGCTGGAAGCTCTTGGGAGCCAGGCCTCCCACATGAGTGATAGGAACCCAATCAGTTGAGCCATCACTGCTGCCTTTCAGGGTCTACATTAGCAGGAAGCTGGAGTCAGGAGCACAGCCAGTTATTGAACTAAGGACCAGTATGGGACAAAGGTGTCTTAACCAGTGTCTCAACCACTAGGCCAGATGCCCACCCTGTCTGTACTTTTCATGTGGAGTTCTCATTTCATTCACTTGTTTTCAGCCAGTGACATTTTTTGCCCAGTTGTTATACAAGATAAGCAAGATCTTTATTTGTCTTCACAAAAGAATCGTAGCAAATAGTATAATGTTTAAGTGCTTCAAATTTATTGAGAATATAGTCCCAGTCATTTTTTTCATAATTATTAACAACAGCATACTTAACGTTATTACAAGCTTATCATCAGTGTAGAATGGAAAAGAATTAAATTTCGTTAAGTTAAGATCGTGTAAAATTGATCCTCACTCCCTTTTGGCAAATCTGTATCAGGGTCCTGCCAGGAAACAGAATTCTCCCAGGTGGTTCAAATAAACTTTAACAAAGAGACTATTACAAACATGCTTATTAAGAATAACAAGTTGTGGGTCTAGCCTTGTGGTATAGTGAGTAAAGCCACTGCCTGCAATGCCAACATTTCATATGAGCGCCAGTTCATGTCTCGGGTGCTCCACTTCTGATCCAGTTCCCTGCAGAAATGGCCCAAGTGTTTGGGCCCTTGCCTCCCACATGAGAGACCCAGATGAAGCTTCTGGTTTCAGTTGAACCCAGCGCTGGGTTACAGCCTTCTGGGGAGTGAACCAGCAGATGGAAGATATCTCTCTCTGTCCCCCTCTCTGTATATCTCTGACTTTCAAAATAAATAAATAGATCTTTAAAAAATAAAGTAAACCTGTTCTCGTTAGGCATCCAGAGACTGGCAGTAGTTATTGTGAAGAACCTTGTGAGAGCTTGAACTGCTAAAGAGGGACTACCTGGTGGTATTGGTAGTTGAGGAAACCTGGCTATTGCAAAAGTGTGGTGCTGAAGCAGGGCAGGAACAGAGAATATCCTCTGTCCTCACCTCTGTACTTCTCCTAGGTATTTACGTTTCCGAGTGGTCAAACGCACCCTGAATCAAGGGGGCCACTCTGCAGTGCAAATGAAGGTGGACAATGTATTTTGGGCTGATAAATGGAGACTGGCTAGGACATCTTTACTGATTAAGAATATTTAAAATGCTGTGGCAAAGAGGACTAAAACATACACTATATTAGCAAGTTCTAAAACTTCTTGTAATTGGAAACCTTTACAACAAAATAGTTTTTGTTTATGTAGATTATGTCAGTATTTCTTATATTTGAAATTAAAATATATAAAATATTCACATAAAGCAAATCAGTCTTTTGCATATTAACATAAATAACACTTTAAAAAATGAAATCTACATATTCCAGGATAAAACAAAAATAGAAGAGTGGAATTTATATTGTCTTCTTACTACAAAACAATGAAATTCTCTTCTGCTTCTGCATATAAACAGTTATGTTATATTGTTTGGTTGAAGTATATGAAGAAACCCAACCTCACACAGATTAAGTTAAACAAGGTTATTTAGATTTTAAAAACCTTGAAGAGTTCTCAGATATTGCCTTACATTGATCTTATACAGAGCACACACTCAGCTGGTTAGGTATATGTTCTGAAAAGTTGCTGTAGGAGATAAGATTCCATGCCACTTTGTATCTATGACCCTGTAATAATAAACCATGCCATTCTGACTTGTCTCTGTAAGTAAGTGTAGGCTAGTCATTACCTGTCCTCACTGTATAAGCATATCCAACCATGAGATAGGGGTTGACACAGTGATGTGCAAAAACTCTCTTCTTGCCCTCTTTTCCCTTAGGAAACCCAATGGTAAATAGTTTGACATTCTTGATTTCATTTTTAGTTATAAGATTAAGATTGTGTGTGTGTGTATGTGTGTGTTTGATAAGTTTCCTGAGGGGGAAAAATCTATCAAAGATTATTAGGAAAATTACATAGTTTTCTCATCTTGGGGAATGTTAACTTTCAAAGTTCTGAATTAATCAAAAACATAGTTTCTGAAAGGCCTAACTCCTTTTTAAAAAATAACTATTTGTATTATATTACCTCTTCTTTCTGAGTGATAAAGATTTATTAGTGAGTTTTCCCTTTATTTAATCCAGTATTTATTCAGTGGTTGTCACTTTCATGTTGAGAATGTGCATACAGTCTCCTTAAAAAAACTTAACAAGTTTCCAAGGAAGCATAAAATAAAAATAAAGTAAACCAAAGATAATGTCCATAAACTATTATACATATAAGCTGCTGTTACATATATATTTCTGTATAAACACATAAACTCTTACTATGTTTTTGTTAAAATATCTCAAGGTGGAGGCATCTCCAGATCTGAATGTTTGAAATTATCTGTAACAGGGATTTTCTCCTAGGTAGTGCTTGTTATTGATAACATGCAGGAACTGGCACAAAAATAAATCAGTTTTGCATGGGATTAGTTTCTAATTAAGGCAAATTTACTGTTTAAATTTAATACTTTTTTTTCCCAAAGAAGATTAATGAAATATTCTTCTTCTTCCCCAAAGGAGCTACTGCTTTCTGGCATGCCAGAAATTGATGTGAGTGATTGGATAAAAAATACTGAATACACAAGTGGCTATGAAAGAGAAGATCTGGTTATTCAGGTAAAGTCTCTCTAGAGCTTAGAATGAAGTTAAGTTTTGCCATTTAATTTTGTAAGCTTTTCAGCACTACTAGATGAGAACGTATGTTAATTAACAAAGTAAAGTTTTCCCCTAAATTCTTCTTGTGGGAATATTGCATACGAAAGCTTTGTATGAAATCATTTTTGATAAATGAGTTTCAGAGACTAAAATATGCTTTATGAATATTGCATATTTTCCTGGTATTAAGAAGCCTATAGTTGCTTTGAGATATGAGCTAAGTTGATTTTTTTGTTGTTGTTAGTGGTTCTGGGAAGTTGTGGAAGACATTACTCAAGAGGAGAGAGTTCTTCTCTTACAGTTTGTTACCGGCAGGTAAGAAGTGCTTCTGTGACAACACAAAGAATTTAATGCATTTTGTTTCTAATGGCTTAGAAAATAATAAATGAAAAATGACTAATCTGAATTGTGACTTACCTCCCTTTCTATTACTGTAGGTAATGAGCAAAGATTTATTTAGATATTAAAAGTAAAGCATTTATAATAATGTCTAATAAATATTTAATATATTAAAAATGACAGTTCTAGTCAGGGGTATCAGTATATTATACTTTATATTTTTATACTCTTTTTCCCCAAATTGTTTTATTAATTTTTGGTAACAGACAAGATTTGTACATTTTATAGGGTGCGATGCTATATTTCACTTACATAGCATGAACCAATGAAACCAGGCAACTAGCTTTTTCATTTCTGTATCTTTGTGTTTGGAGCCTACCAGTTCTTCACTTCCAGTTCTTTTTACAGTATAAAATACATTATTGTGAACTAGAATTGCCCAACTGTGTTATAGGACACTAGAACTTGTTAATTATGACTATTTTGGTATTCCTTACCCAACTTCCCTCCATCTTTCCCCCCTATCCCTTGCCAACTTCTAATATAATCACTATGCTAAATTCAAATCAATTATTGTTTTTTAACTTCCACAAGTGAGAGGAAATATATTGTATTTTGTCTTTCCGTGTCTGGCTTGCTTTAGCAAGTGTAATGATATACATTTCCATCTACTTTTCTGCAGATATCAGGATTTCATTCTTTTTTTGCTGCCTGAGTAGTATTCTATTCTGTCTGTATACCATATTTTCTTTTTCTAATCATCCATTCATGGACACCTATGTTGATTATATATCTTGGTTATATATGTGAATAGTACTGTAATGAACATGGAAGTATAGGCATCTTCCATATGCTGAATTCATTTCCTACAGATGTATAACCAGAACTGGGATAACTGGGTCATATAGTAGATACAATTTTAGTTTTTTGAGGAACCTCTATATAGTTCTTCATAATGGCTAATTTGCATTCCTACCAGCAGTGTATAAGAGTTCCCTTTTCTCCATATCCTCATAATCATTTGTTATTTTTGTCTTTTTTGAATTAGTCATTCTAACTGGAGTGAGATTATACCGCATTGTGATTTTGATTTCCATTTCACTGATGGCTAGTGATTTTGAATATTTTTTCATGTATTTGTTGGCCATTTGTATTTCTTCTGAGAAGTGACTGTTCAGGGCTTTGTCCATTTCTTAACTGGATTGTTCACTTTTTGTTGTTGAGTTTTTTGAGTTCCTGATATATTCTGGGTGTTAATGTTTCATCAGATATATATTGTGAAAATATTTTCTCTCATTCTGTCAGTTGCCTCTTCACTGTTTTCTTTTGCTGTAAAGAAGCTTTTAGTTTGATAGAATCTCAGTGATCTGTTTTTGTTTCATTTGCCTGTGTTTGGGGAGTCTTATAAAAATCATTGCCATTTCAATGTCTTGAAGTGTTTCCCTGTGTTTTCTTTCAGCAGTTTCATATTTTCATGTCATACATTTAGATCTTTGAACCATTTAACATTTCATTTTTTTAATAGAGTTTGTGTGGGAGCCAAGCATAAATCTTCTATATATAGATATCCAGTTTTCCCAATATGATTTATTGAAGAGACTGTCCTTCACCAGTATTTGTTTTTTGCACATTGTCAAAGATCAGTAAATACATGGATTCATTTCTGGGATCTCTGTTCTGTTCCAGTAGTCCATGTATCTGTTTTTCTGCCACTACTATGCTGTTTGGGTTTTATTATCTCTGTAATATGTCTTGAAATTTGGTATTGTGTTGCCTCTGTTTTTATTCTTTAAAATTCAAGATTGCTTTGTTTTTGATCTTTTGTGCTTCAGCATGAATTTTAGGATTTTTTTTTCTAGTTTTGTGAACCATGTCATCTTTTTTTTTTTTTTTTTTGGTGTAGATTGTGTTAAATATGTAAATTGCTTTGAGTAATATGGACATTTTAACAATTGTAATTCTTCTAATCCATGAACATGGGAGGTTATTCCATGTTTTTGTGTTTCAATTTCTTTTTATCAGTGTTTTGTAATTTTCAATGAACCGTTCTTTCACATCCTTGGTTAAATTTATTCCAAGTATTTTTGTTATTGTGAATGGGATTGCTATTATAATTTCCTTCTCAGAGGAAATTTTATTGGTTTATAAAAGTGCTCTGATTAATTTTGTGTCCCACAACTTTAGTAAATTCACTGAACAGTTCTGGATTTCTGTCTCATAAGGATTGTGTCATCAGCAAACAGGGATAATGTAATGTCTTCTTTTCCTATTCATGTGCTTTTTCTTTCTCTTGCCTGATGGGTCTGGCTAAAACTTCAGTATCATATTGAATAAAAAAATGAAAACAGATATTGTTGTCTGGTTCCAGATCTTAAAGGAAATGCTGTCAGCTTTTCCCCATTTAATATGATGTTGGCTGTGGGTTTGTCATATGTGGCCTTTATTGTGTTGAGGTATGTTCCCTCTATACTTAATTTGTTCAAGGTTGTTATCATGAAATGATGTTAAACTTTATTGAATACTTTTCATGTAATCCTATGATTTTATTTATTTTTTCATTTAATGAATGCATTTTTACATAGATACTTTAGGAATACAGTGGTTCTTTCCGCCATCCCCCCCACCCCACTCCCTTCCTGCCTCCCATTCCCTCTCCCATCTCCTTCTTCTTTATGGATCATTTTTAGTATGACTTTATAGAGGACCCAGATAATCCTATGATTTTTATCCTTTATTTCTTTATTCTATAAATATAATGTGGTACATTTGTTGATTTGCATAGGTTGAATCTTTCCTAAATCTGTGGTTACATCCATTTTATTATGAGGATTGATCTTTTTGATGTGATGTTGGATTTGATTTACTACTGTTTTGTTGCATATTTTTCCATCTGTTTATCAGGGATCATAGTGTATAGTTTTTTTGCTTGTGTCTTTGGTTTTGAAATTAAGGTAATATTGGCCTCATGGAATAAATTTGGAAGGGTTCCTCATTTCAATTTTTTTAGAATAATTAGAAAAGAATTGGTGTTAATTCTTCCTTAAAAATTTGGTAGACTGCAGCATTGAAGCCATCTGGTCCTAAGCTTTTCTTTGTTGGGAGACTTGATTACTTATTCAGTCTTGTTACTCATTATTGGTCTTTTCAGATTTTCTGATTTCATAGTTCGATTTTAGTATCCAGATATTTATCCGTTTTTTCCCCTTGGTTTTCCAATGTGTTGGTATATAGTTGTTCATAATAGTCCCTAATGATCCTTTGTGTTTCTGTAGTATCAGCTGATATATATCCTTTTTTGTCTCTGGTTTTATTTATTTGGGTCGTAGCTCTTTTTTCTTAGCTGTTTTAGGTAAAGGGTTATTGATTTATCTTTTCAAAAAACCTGCTCTGCATTTCACTGATATTTTGTATTATTTTTATAGTTTCTATGTAATTTATTTATGCTGTGATCTTTATTACTTCTTTCCTTCTACTAAGTTTGATTTTGCGTTTGTTTTAGTTCTTTGTTCTTTGATATGCATTAATTATTGATTGTTTATTTGATATCTTCCTTTTTAATGTAAATACTGCTAAAATGTATAAATGCTTCCTTTTAACTATGGCTTTTGCTATATTCTGTAAGTTTTGATGTGTTGTGTTTCCATTTACATTAGTTTTAAGGAAGTTTTAAATTTCTCTTTTTATTTCTTCAGAGACTTATTGTTCATTCTAGAAGTATATTGTTCAGTCTGCACGTATTTATATAATTTCTAGAGTTTCTTTTGTTACTGATTTTTAGTTTATTGTGATCAGAAAAAATTTTTGATATGGTTTTAAGATTTTAAAATTTCTTGAAACCAGTTTTATAACTTAATATGTAGTCTATCCTAGAGAATATTCCATGTGTTGATGAAAAGAATTTATATTCTGCAGCCATTGGATGGAATGCTTGGTAAATGTCTGTTAGTTCCATTTGGTCTGTACTGAAGTTTAACTCTGATGCTTCTTTGTTGATTTTTTGTTTGAATGTTCTGTCCATTGGTGAAAATAGAGTGTTGAATGTGGCTTATCTTTCCTTTTGGACCTTATAATATTTGTTTTATAAAATTGAGTTGACTGGCATGAAATCCATATAAATTTACCATTGTATCTTCTGTTGAATTGATCCCTTGGTCATTATATAGTAACCTTCTTTGCCTCTCATTACTTTTTTGTAAAATCTGTTTTATCTTATATAAGTACTGCTGCTCACTTTTGACTTTTTGCATAGAATTTCTTTTTTCCATTTTTTAAATTTTTGTCTATGTGTATCTTTACTGAAAAGTGTATTTGGGTGCCAGCGCAGTGGTGTAGCAGGTAAAGCCACCGCCTACAGTGCCAGCATCCCATATGGGCACCTGTTCAAGACCCGGCTGCTCCACTTCCAATTGAAAGAACTCTTTGCCTGTACCAGTGTTTTGCAGGATTTCCCCAGTGCTCTCTAACAATTTGATGGTATCTGGTCATAGGTTTAGGTCTTTAATCCATTTTGAATGGATTTTTAGGTAAGGTATAAAGTAGGAGTCCTACTTCATTCTTGTGCCTGTGGAAATCCAGTTTTCCCAGCACTGTTTGTTGAAGAGACTGTCCTTGCTCCAGGAATTGGTTTTAGATCCTTGATCAAATATAAGTTGGCTGTAGATGTTTGGATTGATTTCTGGCATTTCTGTTCTGTTCCATTGGTCTGTCCATCTGTTTTTGTACCAGTACCAGGCTGTTTTGATTATAACTACCTTATAAATATAACTACCTTAAAATATGGTATTGTGATTCCTCTGGCATTGTTTTTGTGGTATAAGATTGTTTTAGCTATTCAAGGTCTCCTGCGTTTCTAAATGAACTTCAGCATCATTTTGTCTAGATCTGAGAAGAATGACTTTGGTATTTTAATTGGTATTGCACTGAATCTATAAATCGCTTTTGGGAGAATGGACATTTTGATGATGTTGATTCTTCCA